TTGACGGTTCTGCTAATATTTCAGCCGTGTTGGAGGGTGAATACGCAGGCCAGCGGGTCGCCGTTAAGAACATCAAATGTGACGTAACCGCTCAGGCCTTCCTGGAAGAGACGTCGGTCATGACGTGAGAGCATTTCCTCCTCCGTTACCTGCTCTGTGTCTTTATTACATACTCATAATGTCCTCTTCTCCAGAAATCTCCATCATAAGAATCTGGTGCGGTTATTAGGAGTGATTCTTCACAACGGACTTCACATCGTCACCGAGCTCATGACGAAGGTGCCGCTTTCAGAGGAATATCAGTCAGACACACTGAGTTTGATAACGTTTATTCATTGAGTCAGTTGTGTGTCGTCGCAGGGGAACCTGGTGAATTTTCTTCGATCACGAGGACGTTTTGCGGTCAGTGCGACGCAGCTGCTGCGCTTTGCACTGTAAGAGCTCACATTTACAGTATTAAAACCCTTCATTTTAATACAATAAATCAATGCAACATTAATTTAAATATAGAGGTGCATGTCATATTTCACTCCAAAATCAAAAGAAATGAGAAATTTAAAATCAAGTTTAAATTTTGTACATAACCAATTAAACCCATTTGGTCCTCAATTCTCTATTCTTCATTTATTACCAAAATGCAAATCCTGTTTAATAGTTGTTATTATTTAAATTAATATTTTTTCATTTTTTTATTTTATTATATTTTCATTTATTAATAATCACTCAGAATAATGATAATTACAAAAAAACTCTTATTTTATAAAATTATTGCTTATTAATATAATACTATTTTCTGTGACGGTAATTAGAGTAACCTTATTTAAAAATATTTTATTTTTATTTAAATAAAAATAATATATAATTAATTCATTTTATTTATTATTTTGAATTACATTCATGATTTTATTTTTAAATAGGGTTATTAAATGTTGGTTCTTTTTTATTGTTGTGGATTTAAGAATTTTAATAAAAAACAGGCTTTATTTAATTTTTTAAATATATTTAAGAATATTATTTTGTATTGCAGTAATGCAATTTTTGTATTTTTTAAAAAGACTATTTACTTTACTTTTACTTTATTGTTTATTAATTTATGTACGTATTATATTTATTGGTTTATGGTAATGGTATTGGTATTATCATAGTAAGAATCATTTTTTTAATTTAAGAAATAGGCTTCATTTTATTTTATTTATTAATATTATTTTGTGATGACAATTATTTTATTATAATTTATTATTATTATTATAAATTCCCCAATCATGTTTATGTGCGATAGTCTCATGTTGGCTCCTGAAAAATTGTGATTTTTAGAAAATTAAAAAACACACAGTCATGGAGTCATGGAGGTTTTATTTCTGTTTTTCTCAGAGATGTTTGTGAAGGTATGGAGCATCTGGAGTCAAAGAAACTCTTGCACCGAGATCTCGCCGGACGCAACATCCTCGTGTCTGAAGACACCGTCGCCAAAGTCAGTGATTTCGGTCTGGCCAAGGTCAGTTCAACGGCAACCGACAACTCAAAGTTACCCATCAAGTGGACGGCGCCCGAAGCCTTGAAGAAGAAGGTGAGAGACACATGATGAGATCAGAGACGTTCATCACCTGAATTAGTTCAGACTCACCCTGACGTCTCTGTTCCTGCAGAAGTTCTCCGCTCAGTCAGACGTGTGGAGCTACGGAGTCCTGCTGTGGGAGATCTTCTCGTACGGCAGACAGCCGTATTCCAAAATGGTGCGTTCCTCTCTGTAAACTCATGCGTCCTCTTCCTGCGGGTGTGATGTTGTCTGCTGGTGTGTGTTGCAGTCGTTGAGTGAGGTGCGGGAGTGTGTGGATCAGGGTTACCGCATGGAGCCGCCGGACGGATGTCCTCCTGACGTCTACAGCATCATGACGTCCTGCTGGGAGACGGAGCCCAAGAGGAGACCGTCCTTCCTCAAGCTCCGAGAGCGGCTGGAGAAAGAGCTCGGCAAACAGCACGCGGCCGCTTGAGCTCGTCTCTGCAGGAGCTCACCACATGTGTATAAAGTACATCTAATTTATTATTCATCACACTTCATATTTGTTTTTATTTCCGTTTCATGCTTTTTGGGTAATTAATTAAAAATGAACACTTGCATGAAAATAAAGGCTGTTTTAGGAACATTTCATGCAATTAAGAAAATTGTACCCCCTCACTTTTTATTTATTTTACTTTATAAAAAAATATTTAAATTAATTTTAATAAAAAAGAGAAAAGGGGAGAAAAGGATGAATTTTCTTCAAAATAATGTCATATTGGTCTCAAAAATCTTTCCCAGCATTTTTAATAAAACATTTCTTATTTTATTGTTATAAAATTAATAATAAAATATTATAATACACATATTTTAATCAGTATAAATTAAAACAGTACAGCATATAATACCATGATGAAATACCTGTATTACTCAATATATTTTATACATATATGCATTTTTTGTTGTTATTGTTTTGCATTTTTATTTATTATTTATCAAAATAAATAGAAATGTGAATTTGGGAGAAAATGTGCTTAATTGTAATCAAAATAATGTCATACCAATGACTACAATTATAATTAGCATAAAGAAAATCAAAATTAAATTTTTTTTGCATGTACAATTAAACATTT